TTGAGGAGCGTTTGCTCCATTTATATTCCATGTTATGCATTTATAATCCATAGTTAGGCCAAGATTTTAGAAAAGTCAATACCTGTAGTGCCCAACATGGAATCCTCTTCAGTGTCTTGTTGTGTCTGCTGTGGCGTTTGTTTGACATCTGTCATTTTCACGTCCATTTGTATTTCTTCTTTAATTCTTCCAATTCTTCTTTAAATTTTTCAGAAAATTCTCTTGTTTTCTGCACAGAGTTCAGTCTGAATCTCTGCTGTTTATAAGTAAAAATCACCCCTTCCAACTTGTTCCATCTAAATGGAATTTTCTTCTTCTTTAAGTTTGCCGGTCAAAAAAAAAAAATTATCTTATGTAGTATTCTAATTACATCTGTATTATCAGTCTTCAACCTAATATTAAAATGCTGCTGCAAAACTTGATCTCTGGTCTTCTTCCTGACAAAGTGCACAAGGACATTTCTTGGAACATTTCTTAATTTTGCAAAACATGTATTAATCCTATAAACCTTAACAATCTCTGTTTTAGTGTTATCTTCCAATCCAAGAAATTAGACAAGATTTAACAGTCTTTTGTCTAATATCTTTTCCATGTCCTTCTGGAATCGCTCTAAATCTTAAACAAAATTCTTTTTTTTCTCAATTCCAGTAATGCCAAATTGTCCAAAGTTCTCTCCATCTCTCTATTTATAATTTATGTCTTACTTTCCAAAATTTCCGCCTTGTCAGTAATTTGTTTTAAATCTCTAGCTAATTGCCCTACAGATTCTTCAATCATCTTAATAACTTCTTTCATATCTTTTCTTATTCCTGCAAACCCTTCTTCCATTTCCTTTTTAAAAACATTCAAACTATTGGCAACCATTGCAGTCATTTTTTCACTAAATTCATCAAACATTTTCTGTAATAAATCTGGGGAAACGCCTTTATCTGTAAGTTGCTCTAGTGAACCTCCCTTCTTCTAATTTAGCAGTTTTTCTTGTGGTTGCCATTATGGGAAAATGAAAGTATGTCAATTACTAGGGTGAAAGTAAAAGGCAGGTTTCTCTCCCTCTCTCTTTTGCTTTCTCTATCTGTAACACTTTAGTCCCAGTTAGCTCTCTATAGACAGTCACACAATTTAGCTCATATTACTCTTACCTTCTTGTTTTGTAAAGTCCACCAGTTATCTATTGTCATTAATAATTAACAATCGGCATTCCCACAAAGGTCTGGTCTGTTTGTCTAATTAATTCTGCTATTTTCAAAAGCACTTCCGTCAGAAAAAGAAATTTATTTATTCCTCTATTTTCTAAAATTACAGTCCCCTTTATCCATTTAAAACTTTCTTGAATCCCAATCTTGTTAAGCTTTTTGCTTTTAAATTAAAATCTTTACTCCCAGAAAGGTGGCAACTCACTGAGAGTCTTTGCTCCTCCCTGCTATTCGGAATATCTCTCTTAGACTGTAAAGTAATAAAATCCAAAGGTGTTTAAGAAAGTGAGGCTTTTGCCGGTCATATGTCCATAAAGGCTACACTGTGGTTAAGGGCACGTTGTAAATCCCTTGGCTCCCAAGCATTCTTTCTAAAAAATGTAGCAAAGCTCACAGATTCAGATTAAGAAATACTACCTTCCTGTACTATATTTGTAATCTTATTTGACAGCTTTAATTTTTCTAGTCTTCTGATTAGAGTGAATGTTGTACAATTAAAGCAGAAAGAAGGAGAGAAGACAAACTTTAACCTTTCCCAGCAATGTCAGCAGGGAGGGCAAGAGGGGTTAGACTAACAGCAGCATCACAACACAAACCCCACCACTCTTCTACTTGCCCCCAAAAGAATGCAACTTGTGATGCAACGTTGCTTTTGTCATTCTGAGGAAAGCTGTATGTTCCTGTGGATGTTGCTGGCCTTTTCTCCTATTGCTAAATTTACAACCACCAGTTGCCCTCTGGGGGAGATGGGCATATAAATTCAATTAATTAATACTTCAATCCTGGCCATGCTGGCTGGGGAATTATAGTAGAGACAATCCAGAGGACTACAGGCAATAGCAGAGCATTTATTTTAGTCAAATAAATTAATTCCTATTTTCAGGTTGTGGCACTCAGTTATTGAGTTACTGGTTAAAACATCTGAAAATCATTCCTATTTATTGCATTTGTTGAATGAAAGTTTCCCTTTTCTAATATATACGTAGGTCTTTCTTATTTTATAGTAAGCTCAATGGGTTTTAATTCTTGTTACTATAAATAGTTATCTAACTTCATAATAATTATATGCTGTATTACACATTGAGCCAGTTTGGTGTAGTGGTTAAAGGCACCAGGCTAGAAACTGAGAGTCTGCCTTAGACATGGACCTAAGTGGGTGACTTTTGGCCAGTCAGCCTCTCAGCTCTCAGAAAAAGGCAGTGGCAAACCACTTCCAAAAATGTTACCAAGAAAGCTGCATGGACTTATCCAGGCAATCGCCGGGAGACAAGATTGATTCAAAAGCTATAATATTATATGTACAATACAGTGGGGCAAAAAAGTATTTAGTCAGCCAATTGTGCAAGTTCTCCCACTTAAAAAGATGAGAGAGGCCTGTAATTTTCATCATAGGTATACCTCAACTATG